CTTTGTTCTATAGATTCCCCATGGTCTGGCTGTAGGGAATGAATGGTTAGGTTTATTTTGTGTAGGGTACTACTTAAAGACTGTTTTCCTTTCATGGTATGGGTAAATGGGTTGTGAATGATCCCAGCTGGAATCTTTGTTTTTGTAGGTTTCTCATGGTCAGGCAGCACATTGCAGCCTCTGAATATAGCTTGGTTTAATATTTAGTTCTCTTGCTGCCTCTTCCTTATATCAAAACCATATTGAGGGAGTTTGTGATTTATTCCTTTTGCATAATTCAGTTATTAATATAGTAATTAATTATTTTATTTATTTGTGTGTGTGTGTGTGTGTGTGTGTGTGTGTGTGTGTGTGTGTGTGTGAGAAATATAGCACGGAAACCAAGGAGTGCATTCAACATACATGTATAATTTGATGAATTACTGTAAACTGAACATCCAGGTAACCACTGTTCATGTCAAGAAATAGAAAATTGTTAGCACTGCAGGCACGTGTTCCTTTCCAGTCCCTCTTCCTGATTCCAATGGCCTTCTCTTGCCCCAAAGATAAATATTACCTTGCTTTTTGTAGTAATTATTTCCTTGCTTTTACCATTTCAGAATAAATCATAGAATGCTGTGGTTAATTTTTTTACTTTGAATTTTATATCAATAAAATAATATATATCCTTTTGTCTGACTTTTTAAATTGGAGTATAATTGACATGTAACATACTAATTTCAGGTGTACAACATGATTCAATATATGTGTATATTGCAAAATGATCACCACAGTAAGTTAGTTAACATCATCGCCATGCATAATTACCAACTTTTTTTCTTGTGATGAGAACTTTTAAGATTTACTCTCTTAGTAACTTTAAAATATGCAGTGCATTATTATTGACTGTAGTTGCCATGCTGTACATTACATCCCATGACTTATTTATTTTATAACTGGAAATTTGTACCTTTTTGCCCCCTTTACCCATTTTGCCTACCTAATTCTCTGTATCTATGAATTTGGTTTCTCTTTCTTTTCTTTTTTTCTTTTTTCTTTTTTTTTTGGTAGGTTCCACATATAAATGAGATAATATGATATTTGTCTTTCTCTGTCTAACTTAATGCCCTCAGAATCCATCCATGTTGTCGCCAAGTGTCAGGATTTCATTCTTTTTTTGTGGTTGAGTAATATTTCATTATATATAATCACATTTTCTTTATCCATTCATCCATCCATGGGCACTTAAGTTGTTTCCACATCTTGGCTATTGTGAATAATGCTGCAGTGAACTTGAGGGGTGTATATATATCTTTTGAGTTAGTGCTTTTGTTTTCTTGAGATAAATACCCAGAAGTGGAATTGGTGGATCATATGTTAGTTCTGTTTTAAATTTTCTGAAGAACCTCCATACTGTTTCTCAAGTGTGAGGTGATATCTTATTTTGGTTTTTGTATGCATTTCCCTGATGGTTGTGATACTGAGCATCTTTTTATGTACCCATTGGTTATCTGTACGTCCTCTTTGGAATATGTCTATTCAGATCCTCTGCCCATTTTTAGATCATAATGTTTGTTTGTTTGTTTGCTATTGAGTTGTATGAGTTCTGTTTATATTTCAGATATTAACCTCTTATCACATATATGATTTGCAGTTATTTTCTCCCAATCAGTAGGTTGCCTTATCATTTTGTTGATTGTCTGACTTTTTTTTTAATATTACATGTATGAAATTCATCTATGTTCTAGCTCTAAATTCAAGGGTCAGCAAGCTTTTCCTGCATAGAGCTAGATAGTAACTGTTTTAGACTTTGTGAGCCATAGAGTCTTTCACAGTTATTCAACTCTGCTATTGTAGCTTAAGAACAGCCATAGACAAACATAAACAAATGAGCATGGCTGTAAATAAAACTTTGTAAATAAAACTTTATTTACAAAAACAGATGTTTGTTAGACTAGTGTGTATCTTAAACAAACACTTTAAACAGCCAGGTGTTTTTTTAGCAAAATGGGTTTATTTAGGAACAACAAAGAATTGCAATTCAGGACATGTAATCTAATGGTGAACCATGAGCAAATACTGAGAAACAAAGGAGAGAAAACTCTTTTATAGAGAAGAGGAAATTGGGAGAGCTATTATAAACACAGAGTTCTTCCTCTTGGGCTCCGTGATCAATGTAGGTCACGAGAATTCTCCTTCCTAGCCTCCCAACTTGATTTTAAATGAGGTTTCTTTCTGTTAATTTTGACACTAGATTTGGTCCATGGGCCATACTTGTTGATCCTATGATTCATTCATTGCTATGTGGTATTCCACTAAATATTACCATTATTTATTTATCCATTTTACTGTTAGACTTTTGGATTCATTTGCAATTTTGCTTAGTGAAAATAATGCTGCTCCGAACATTCTTATGTATTTCTTTTATTCCACATGTACTAAAAAAGAATTGCTAGGTTACTGAGTATCTGTACCCTTTGTCACCTCTATTGCATAATTTCTAAACTATTTTTCATAGATTGAATTCATTGATTGAATCAATTAAAGGGGAGGAAAAATAATTTTTTCTTTACCCTTCTGTGTTTCTTGGTTGAGATTCCCTGTGTAATAAAAGACAGATTAGCAAGAGAAAAACAAACAGAAGTTTAATAACATGTATAGCTCCTGTATCTATGAGAGATAATCAGAAAAACAGTAAAACTCTCCACAAAATAGTCCAGGCCATCACCTTAAATATCATCTTCAGCTAAAGACAAAAGAAGGATGTTCGGGGTGCAGGGCAGTTATGTGAGGTTAATGTGTGTTTTTGAGGAGACAATGGCAATCTAAATTTGCTGGGCTCAAAATTCTGTATATACCTATTAGAAAAAACTTGTTAATTATTTTACTTATATCTTCAAAAATCATGTTTATTTATAATTTGCTTGATCTGTTAGTTTCTGGGAAAGATATGTTAAACTCCTCTTATATGTTCTGTGTATTTCTTTCTTATATTTCTATTTTGCTATGTAAATTTCAAAGCAATGTAGTCATGTAATATTTTATAATCCTAATATCTTCTTGAAAAACTGTTTATTTATCAGTATAAAATGTACCTTTTTGATGCTGTTTGCCACAAATATTTTGTCCATTAAAAATATTGCCATGTGCCTTTTGCGGATGGTGGCGAACGTGGCAAGAGAGCTATGAAGGCCTCCTGCGCGCTGTGAGAACACAGGTTGTGGGGCGCTGCCTGCCCACCCCCAAGTGCTACCCGCCGCCCCTCTGCCGCATGCGCATCTTCGCGCCTAACCATGTGACCAAGTCTCGCTTCTGGTATTTTGTGTCTCAGCCGAAGATGAAGAAGTCTTCAGGGGAAATTGTCTGCTATGGGCAGATGTTCGAGAAATCCCCGTGGGTGAAGAACTTTGTTATCTGGCTGCGCTACGACTCCCGGAGCAGCACCCACAGCATATACAAGAAATAACGTGACCTGACCGCTGCAGGCGCAGTCACCCAGTGCTCCCGAGACCTGGGGGCCAGGCACCTTGCCGGTGCCCACCCAATCCAGATCAGGAAGTTGGAGGAGATTGCAGCCAGCAAGTGCTGCCACCGGAAGTTGAGCAGTTCCACGACTCCAGGGTCAAGTTCTCACTTCGCCACTGGGTCCTTCATCACTAGCACAAGCCACGCTTCACCATCAACAGGCCTAACACCCTCTTTTAGATGCAAGGCCTTCCTGTTCCCTGGTCTTCCCAAGTAAACTCCTTGGGAAAACTGGAAAAAAAATATATATATATATATTGCTATGTATTGAGTCCCCCACCCCCATAGTATTTTTTGTGTTGTATCTTTTTTGTAAGCCTCTGCCTTCAACCTTATGCCTTCATTTTCTAAAGTACGTTGCTTGTAAGTAGTATATAGCTGGATTTCTAAAACTTTCAGTCAGAAAAATCTCTAATAGTTGAGTTCAACATTTACTGGGATTATTGGTATTTGTGTAGGTATTTCTACCAGTCAAAACAGTGACAGAGAAAAACTCCATCAAGTAGAAGCCAAGAAAGAAGAAATGAGAATATAGTAAAAGTAAAACTGAGGTTCAAAATAATCCTTTCTCAATATCAACACTGAAGATATAGTTTAAGTTGCTGATGAGCAGTCTTTTTATTGTGTTCTTTTAGTCTGAAGACTCATGTCTTTTCTATATGGTATTCATTTAATTACTGATTTATTAATTATTGCCCTTCTTCTACTCTGTAATTCTAAACCCTTAATGACATGTTAGAACTTTTGGATCTAGCTTTCATAATATACCTTTTCTTTCATTCATCCCATCTCTTTGTGTATCATTTCTAGTGGAATCCCCAGGTTGTATTTCTAGTGTACTAATTTGGTCTTAAGCTGTGTTCAGTCACTGTTCAGCTATCTCTTTTAATCTAACTTGGGTTTTGTTGTAGTTGTTCATTTATTAATTTCAGCAATCACATTCTTTCCTAAAGACTTTGCTACACAGAGGGAATATGGCATCAGCTCCTCTTTACCACTATGGAATCCTAAGTTTTTCATGGGTAACTTCTTTGTTTCTAGCATATGGAAGATGTTCTTTTTTGTTTCAAGAGCAGCATTCTATTGGTATTTTTTTATAACGTTTCTGTGTAATAACAGTTTAGGGTGGTGGTTAATAGCATGGACTTCTTGAGGCAGAGGAGCAAGATTCAGAGCCAAGTTCTGCCTCTTTGACAAGTTATTCAAACTCCCTGTGTCCTGTTATTCTTAGATATGATCATAATAATATTTATAGGCTTTTTGTAAGGATTAAAAGAGGTAATATATGTCTAAATGCCTGGCACATACCAAGTGCTCAGGAAGTATTAGCTGCTGTTGATAGTAGTACCATATCATTATCGTTATATGGTTGGATGGATGGACGGGGAAGATTTTGCCATACGTTTGTAATTTACCATACCATCCCAGCTATCTCTCGTATAATTTTTTAAAGTCCAACAGACTTAAATAACGTATAGCTCCTCTTTTTTTTACAGATTGATCCTGAATTAGAAAAAAAACTGAAAATGAATAAAATGTCATTGGAATCAGAGTATGAGGTACAGTATGTAAATATAGTCTCTCTTTTATAACAGTCTTCCTAGTCAGTGACTGGTTTTGTCTGCCTTAAGGTAAACTTAAATTATTAACAGTGCAGAAAAAAATTATTTACCTTAAACATATGGTATTAGGATAACTATATAGTCATTTGAAAAGAAAATACAGATGGATCTATATTTCATATACTATAAATGAGTAAATTATAGATGGATCAAGAATTAAAAAAACATGCTAAAACTACTAGGAAAAAAATAGGCATTCTTTTTGAGTCAGAAAAGCCTATATAAATGTGATAAGAAACCTAGAAACTTTAAAGACTGATGAGTTCATACTTAAAACTTCAAAAGTTTGGCCTAAAAAAATAATGTCTCTAAAATCACTAGTTAAATGAGAAATTGTAAAACTATTATTTATCTTACTATAATAAATTTATTTAATTATGAAGAGCATCTGCGAATCAATATGAAGGTGGAGTTCACCAATTCACTCGGTCAGTAGGAACATGGGCAAAGCATGTTAAGAGTCCAGAGGAAGGGAAATAAATTTCTTTCTTAAACATATGAAGAGATGTTCAACTTATAGTAGGAATGTTACTTAAAATCATAATGAGGCGTCATTTCCCACCATTTTTTTTTTTTTGATTAGCAAAATTCAAAGAGTTTTATAAATAGCACATTGTATTATAGAATGTGGTGAGGGAGGATGTTCTCTCTTTTCGTTTGTTCATTTTTTGGGCCGTGGATTGTATTTTTTTGTTTCTTTGTATGTTTGGTCATTTTGATTGAAAAGTGGGCATTGTGAATAATAGATTGAAGAGAATTTAAGTTTCAGCAGGCAGATCAATTATTGGCTGATCATTTTGAACTCGGTTTTGTGCTTTATAAGGCAAGAACAGTGGAAAGGCTTTGGTGTTTCTCAAACCTCTCTTTGTGGGTCTTGTTTTCCAAATTGTCTCCCCAAAGGATCTTGTCAGGGTTTGGTTTTAAGCTTTTTTGGGTGAATGTAAAGTAGGTCCTACTTTTGGTATAATCCTTACTCTTAAAGAGCAGCCTTTTTGGTGTCTCAGCTGGATGTCAAGATAGCAATTAGGTATTAAGTCCACTCTGACAGGGCTGAAAGTCCAATATTGACACTGCTTTTCCTCAGCACTTCTTGACTTGGTTCCACACTCAATTCTGTAGCAGTTGTCTGTTAACTAGTAATCCTTAGGTGGTCTTGCCTAGTACGTGTACAGCTTACTCTTCAAGGACTCTGCGTGTTTTACAGAATTAGTGACTGCATGTTTTGCAGAATTCTACAGGGAATCTTTCCTTCACCAAAGAACTTTGAAGACTGGACCACTTTTACATATAGCTGTTCCACCAACTTTCAATTCCATCTAGGAATTATTCTTACGTTCTCTTAAACATATTTGCCTTAATGTTATTTGGGTGCAGGCCATTCTTTCTTCAGACCTTTTTATAACTTTGGATCATTTCATAACTATACTTGAAAATAATTTATCTTTTTCTTGCACATTAAATTAATAGAATTTTGTTCATTCATATATATTTATTACAAATTCCTGGTAAACCATGAGTAAAATTTAGAGAATGATTTCATTCACTACTTCCCCATTATTTTGTCCTGTAATTTGCTGCTTCTCAGCATAAGCATTATTGTTAGTAGTGATGCCGTGGAGGGTTTGTCTAGGAGTAGATTTTCTGTTTCATTCTTTTAGAAACCATAGAATTTGAGAACTGAAGAAACCATGTAGACCATTTGGTCTGGCCTTTTTATTATTAGGAGGTAATTAGTGCCCTGATGGCTTCAATCACTTGCCCAAGGTTATACAGCTCATTAGTGAAAGAGTAATGCTTAGAATCCATGTGTCAAGGTAAACTTAATATTATTTTTCCTGTCTCTGGATATAAGCTATTCTGTGTTCTCTGAGCCTCTTTTTCTATCTTATTCACTCAGTTTTTCCAGAACAGTCAAAGTAGATGTGTGAAAGTTATTGTCAGAAGGGTGAAGAAACATTTTTGTTCTTCCCTTTTTATCCTACCTTTATTCCTTGAGAGGCACTTCACACTGACTGCAAGTACAATGACCCAGCTGTAATTAAACTAGTTTTTATTACCTGAAAGGGCCTTGTTTATGGCAGCTTATGGGGAGTGTCTTTTCATCCTTAAGCTCAGGCTCATTTTTCAGGTGACAGAAAAATCATCTTATTTCCCTCTAGTAGACTTTAAGGTCTCCACCTTTGTTCTTTTTCTCTCATTTACTGCCATTGCCTATGCTAACCTATGCTAGTCAGTATCATGCTAGGTCAACCTTCGGAGTTGAACTTTTAATTTTCCAGCTTCTTCCCTTCTCTGTGCTCTGAAAAACAAAGCATGTAGACTCTTTTTTTTATTTTTATAGTTTTATTCTAATGGAGGAAAAGATAGGTATTAACATCAATAGCAAGCAAGAAAAATTCCAAATCCTAAGAAATATGTCATTGCTTCAATTATTATGCTTGATATACGGTTGATTTTATTTGTTAAAATTATAATTGAGGACCTACTGGATTCTTTCTATTCGTTTAGTCATTCATTCAAAAGTGTCATAATCAAAGCCACAGGACTCCTACACTAATATATATACTTTAATTTTTATGGCTCTATAGAAAATAAAGGACTCTACTTTTGATAACTGGAAGAATATTCGAGGACCCAGGCCATGGGAAGATCCTGACCTCCTCCAAGGACGAAATACAGAATTCCTGAAGACTAAGACAACTTGACTATGTTGATTCTTTTCCTCCCTCCCTCCCTCCGTTCATAACATGTTATCAACTGGAATTCCCACTACATACTCCTATGCAGTGGAAAGAAAATTCTAGACGTGCAGAAGCCTGGATGTGAGTATTTTGATGACAGATAATCTTGATAAAATGTCAAGTACAGGTTTTTATATTTTCTAACTCTTCCATCTGCAAATGAAAGTAACAGTATTGACCACATATGTCGTACACACTCAATAAAAATGGGAACACTGCTACTCAAAGAGTGTCATTTATTCCACTAGCAACTACCCACCCATATTCCTTTTCCACCAGCCATGGGGTAACATTTTGATACTTCAGTCTGATGCTTGATGAGAATAGTAGGTCTGGATCCAAATTCTCACAGTAACATCAAGCAGCGATTTTATGTCAAACCTATGTAGGAAACTAATATTGATCACAGTCTAATAAGAATCTTGATATCTCACATGGTATGCTAATCAGTCTCCAAAGCACCACCTAATGATTGTACTGATACCATTAAAACATGTTAAGAAAATTATATTGTTTCTGGTTAAAGCAAAAGTCATGAAACATTACACATTATACACAGATATGGCAAATTAGTTCAGGTAATCCACAGATGACTACAGTTTGGGAAACAGTGATTTAAAGTATGCTTTATGCCTTAGCATAATTAAATGCTGAAAAACTGAAAATCCATGACTATTCTTTGATCCATGAGAGAATTGAGGGTCACAAGACAAAACCACCATCCTGAACATGAAGCAAATACAGGAAATCACAGTTTACATGGAAGAAAAACCACCTAGACACCACCACTGGAACCAGCATCAAGTGGGAATACTTAAAGAGTAATTGACTAATTTCTAGACACTGAGCACTGACTTCAGAGTTAAAAACTAGAGACCAGGCTGGGAGCACACTTTTTTGAGTTTTACTTTCTGGAGCCCAACCAAATTCTCACAGTGAGTATCAGAAAATTTCTTGTGTTTTCAGCAGGGGAAAGAGAAAGTAACCATTTAGAACTATGCCCTCCAAATTTTGTTCTCCTTAACAAAAGCCTGGCCTCAAAAGAAAGTATTTTGCTAGAGCCAAATCATACTGAGTTTTACCAGAACCTAACCAAATAGGGTAAGGGAAATAGCCAATTCCAGCCCCCTCTAGCCTTTGTGTCTCAACTGAATGGGGTTGGGAGGAGGAAGACAGAAGCGGTTCTGAAGGTCACATCTCAGGGGCCCATGATCACTAAGGCTGAGACCTAATCAATCATAAGACTACAGAACCTTGTCCCCCGCCCCCTACCCCCCAATACTGCCACAAACCTTAAGGCCTATTCACTGGAGTTTCTTTTACCCAGTCCACCTGGGTATCATGTCCAACTTTAAACAACTACAAAGCATACTAAAAGACAACAGTTTGAAAAGACAAAGCAGGCATCAGAATCAGATTCATATATGGCAGGGATTTTGGAATTATCAAACAATTTAAAATAACTAATATGCTTAGATCAATATACTTAGAGCTCTAATGGGAAAAGTACACAACATGTAAGAACACGTGGGTAATGTAAGCAGAGTGATGGAATTTTTAAGAATCAAAAAGAAATTCTAGAAGTCAAAAACACAAAAGAATGCTTTTGATGGAGTCATCACTAGAGTAGACATGACAAAGGAAATAAGGGAAGGAAAGGGAAGAAGGAATAAAAGAGAGGGGGAGAAAGGAGTAGCTATTTCAGGCAAAGCAGACTTCAGAGCAAGGGAAACTGTCAGGGATAAAGAGGGATAAAGGAGGGATAAAAGAGTCAATTCTCCAAGTAGACAGAACAGTCTTTAATGTGTTTGTATCTAATGACAGTAGCAAAATACATGAAGCAATGAAATGAAAACTTGTTTTTTTATTTAAAGAGATCAACAGAATCGACAAGGCTTTAGCTTGGTTTACCAAAATTAAAAAAAATATATTACTAAAATCAGAAATGAAAAAGATAGTAGCAACCTTATAGAAATAACTATAAAAGAATGCTACAAACGTGTATTCTAATAAATTAGATAATTTAGATGAAATAAATTCCTGGAAAGACACAACCTATCAAAACTGATTCAATAAGGACTATAAATCTGAATAGACCTATAACAATTAAATTAATATTTAAAAAATACCCAGAAGAAAAGCCAGATTCAGATGGCTTCATTGGTGATATCTATCAAATATTCAAAAGAAGAATTGATACCAATTTTTCCCAAACTTTTCCAAAAAATAAAAGAGGATGGAACACTTCCCAACTCATTCTTTAAGGCTAGTATCCAGACTGGAAAAGGTTAAGTAAAACTATCTGAATTGTAGATGACATGATCCTGTGTATGGAAAATTCTATGAATCCACTAAAGCTATTATAATAAATGAGTTCAGCACTTATGAGTGTATGAGACACAGGGATGGTTTTGGGATTTGGTTATACTATAAGCCTCAAGGGCAGAAAATGTTTCTTTTAATTATCCTGCACAATCTCTCTTTCTTCTCTCCACACCAAGGACAATGCTTTCTGAGCAGACCTAATGTGGAAAGTTTTTTTCCTGGTCTTTCCTGGTAAGAAATGAATATATCTACCTAAGTCATTGATATCTTTTGCCTTTGAGAATCCATGGGAGCCTATCGGTTTACAATGCAGTTGATTAGTAGTGTTTTGTCATTGCCTTTAAGTTCCCCACCCTAATGAAAACTCAGCTATCTGACACAAAGTATTAGTAATCATTGTACAATTTACTGAAGATTATAGATCTTTGAAACATGGCAGAGTGAGAGACATACCTAGATCTCTCTTCTTGAAACAACAATAAGTTGAACATCTAAAACTCAACAAAAAACAGCCAAACTGCACACCAGCCCGTCTGAGCATGGGATCTGCGCATAAGAGCTACCACAGGTCAGAACCCTGGGTGTCGGGCAGTGGACTGGGAGACTGGGAGAAATAAAGAAGCTGCCTCTTACAGCCACTGGAGCTCCCTGCAAGGGGAGGGGGAGGGGTGAAAGAGTGGCTAGTTCCCTGAGTAGCCCTGCCTGGGAAAGCTGTGAGCTCTCTGTGGCCAGCTGGTGGCAGGGCCCAGTCATTAGGACAGAAAGCAGAGGTGAGGCTGGCAGAGAAACAATTGAATTTTACAGACTGTGTTTGCAAAACAGGCTTAATCGCAGCCCCCAACACCCAACCACCAACCCAGAGGGCCAGTACCGCCATACCCTCCAAGGCTGAACACCGCAGAACTCCAGGGGAATCTGAGAAAACGCTACCGAAACTGTTGCTAACACTGACAGGGACTGAAACTGAGGGTAGCAAGTGTGATTAAATATCAGAATATATAAAGCATTTTTAAGGCTTTGTATAAAGTAGGGATCCAAGAGGCTTAGACGCCATCTACTGGAAACCAAAAGAAAAGTGTCTTCTTTGCAACAGGCTAAAGAGAGACCTTTATATAAAAAAATCTTTCTAGAAAAACAGTGGAATATACTTCCACTAATGCCCAGGCGGAGAAATTGTCCATTAAACACCATGACCAACCAGATGACAAGGCATCTCAGAAAGAAAGAGAAAAAGCTCCAGAAAATAAGTTTACAGACATAGAAATATGCAACTTAAATGATAGAAAATTCAGGATGGTACTTCTGAAAAAACTCAGTGAGTTCCGAAACGCGTCATATCAATGATTTCAGGAATTGAAAAACAACTAGATGAGCAGAGCAAAGAGATTGAAACCCTCAAAAAGAACAGAATAGATCTTCTGGAATTAAAAACAAAAACAAAAAAACACTGCAAGAGTTGTAAAATGAAATAGCAAGCTTGAGAAATGTGGTCGACCAAATGGAAAGGATCAGTGATATCGAAGACATAAATCTAGAAATAAATCAGAAGGAAGAAGAGAGAAACCGAAGAATGAAAAATACTGAAAGAGAAATTCAAGAACTAGCTGATACCATCAGGAGAGGAAACATAAGAATAATGGGCATTATCGAAGGCGAAGAAAAGGAGCAGGGGCTAGAAAGCATTTTCAGACAAATAGTTGACGAGAATTTCCCAAATCTAAGGAA